TCCAGTGGCAACAAGTGGGAAAACGCAAAAGGCCCTATTCAGAGCCAGTTGTATTAGTTTGTCTGTTCTGGACTACTGTTAGAATGGCAGTTCAACATGCCAGACTCTGTAGAAGGTGTCTGTAGATGAAAAAACAGCTCATTTTAAGGTAACATATCCCAAACAATTCTATTTTCAGCTGATTATCACTAATGAAAACATAGCTATGACTATTATATTCCATTTGTGACTACATATTTCTAAATAGTACACACTGGAACTTTAACCTAACCAAAGTTGTTATAGGTACCTAACATGTGGAATCAGAAAAAAACACAGACTGTTTTTATTAACATCCATGTGGGTACAACAATTTTTGTGCACTTGTTGGCACCACAGAAAAAAGCGCAGAAAGCCATAAGGTTTTATGGGAAAATGTGTCTGTTTTAAAAGCACAAAAGCCGTATTTTAATTGCAATCACGGCATCACACTGAGGTAATAGCGTAATGCTGGACTGTAGGCGTGCCTCAGGTGAAGCGTGCAGCAAACGTTCAAACTTACCTGATATAACCATGTCTGGCACTGCAGTTGTTGGATTTTGTACATAGGATTGGCACAGGTTATTCCAAAATAATGGGCTCGGTTGCCAATTGCAAATCGCAAAACCTGCTATTTTTTGAGAAAATTAAACTGTGTGTTTCAAACAGCATTATAATTTCATTCAATTCAATTATCCCAATTCAGTTTTTATTAATTTTATTTTATTTGTATAGCGCAATTCATAAACAGGAAGTTATCCTCAGGACACTTTCAAATAGAGCAGGTCAGGCTGTACTTCTTATAAACATTATTTATGAATATAAATATAAAAATAATATTATTTATAAATATTATATTAATGAAGTACTGTATGCTTCAAGAGAAACCCTGGTCTTACAAATCTTGTTTTCCAGTATGTAGAGGAAAACATGTTTGTATGCGTATAGTGGTATGGTATAAAATTTCACATTCATCATGATTTTTTTAATAGGTTGTTTGTTTTTTTAATGAAAATTAAAAATTATGATGAAACAATGATCATTTCTAGGAGGACTAAAAGATCCAAAATTAAATAAATAAATACACCATTAAATAATTACTTGAATGTGTCATTAATTAATTAAAATTTGGAATTAAATACATAAATGTGTTCATTAATTCATTAAAATACCGATTCATTTTATGTAAAAAACATATATAATTATTTCACTATTTAATTATTATTTCATGGTCCTTGTGTTGCAGTGCTTCATGAATTTATTTTATCTGTCAAACTCACTCATCAAAGTTGGTAGGCGGATCCTAACGCCTGATTGGTTACCCTGCGCATCAAGCCAAGGCAAATCAATTCCAGATAATGGATTGATGCAGAGCTAGTGAACATCGCTGCAATTTGACCAGCGGGTAATCTACAAGGAACTTGATGCTTCAGAACTGCACTCGGTATTTTAAATGTCAAACACCCCAGTCCCTGTGTGTGTGCCTGATGTGCCCTGATACCAGAGAAACAGTGGACTACTTCTTCTAAATTTGCAGTCACTCTATGGTCAATATCTTGGTCGGAAAGTGCGGAAATAACACATATATATATTAAGTTCCTCTGCTTTACTCGCTACATGCTCTGGGTCAGCAGGTCCTGCTTCCACATCCTCTGCTAAGTTTAAAATGTCTCTCACCAACTCCCTAGAAAGTTCATGAAGATCCTCCATCGTCTCTATCCAGGCACTCTACTTCAGACCAAAGCAATGGATCAGACTAGATTAGCGTTAGCCCCACCCACTGACTTTGATGGGTGAGTTTGACAGATAAAATAAATTCATGAAGCACTGCAACACAGGACCATGAAATAATTAATTAAATAGTAAAAATAATTATATATGTTTTTTTTTTTTACATAAAATGAATTGGTATTTTAATGAATAAATGACACATTTAAGTAATTATTTAATGGTGTATTTAACTATTTAATTTTGGCACTTTTAGTCCTCCATACATTCCTACTAATTGGGAATGTTATCGCAATATCTATCAGAATAATCGCAATATGATGTTTTTACCATATTGTGTATATGTCATGTATATTTTATTCTGTGAATTCTGTGAATTGTAATTTTATCCACCTGTCTGAAATTTGAATCCAAGTAAATGTATATACAAGGATGTCATTTTATTTTCTATGTCTACTTGAATATGCAGAAATCAGTGTGTTAGCATTGTTAACAGATCAGGAATTGTAACATTTTTCCAAGGATTATGGAATAATCAGAAGTTTCTATTGTGCAAGCTAACTGGAGCAGAGATTAAACAGAGACTTCAAGTTGAGAGATAACATCTCAAAAAACTAAAATGATCATTTGATTGTTGCCTTGAGAACTAGGACTACGCAATGATGTTTCCAATGTCAATACCTGCTGAAATACTCAACTGACCAGTGTTCAACCTGCCATGCACTGTCACAGAGAGATGGTTTATGCTGAACACATCATAAATAAATAAAAATCCAACAGGATCTAATGGCGTCCGCTGACAGTGTTGACACTGGGGGTGATGTGAGCTGTGTTTACACAGCAATCTACTGTACTTACATGGTTACATATCAACCACAAATATTCATACAGTATCACAGTTTCATAGTAAAGAGTAAAGTGCCACATAGTTCAATTCTCCTGTCTTCTTCAGGCGGACAGCCACAAATAGTCTGAGTAATACATGTAGAGAGCAGATGAGTCAAACCAATGAGCTCAAAGGTCAGTGGATCTTTTGGTCATTCAGTTATCTTTTCAGATGGGTATTAAAAAAAACAGTGGCTATTTTGTGGCTCAGTGGCTTAAAACTGAAATACAAGGCATGTTTTTTTATCATAGGCAAAAAGGGATGATGTAATTTTTTTAATGGTTTGATTTTAATTTTCTATTTCACATAACAAAAACTAAAAATATAAATATGCTTTACCACAGGCTAAAATGTATCGGATATGATTTTAGGCAAACTATGTCTTACTTACTATGTCTGAGGATAAAATGTGTCACTTGTAGTGACGATCCCAGAGAAGATACCTGCCTTGTGTCTTTATGCCAATGGTTTACGATCTGTGAACTTGTGTCTGTGCATCCACTAAAAACCCACATAATGTGAAACAATTCTGAACTATCCCCTTCAAGGTTATGGGTAAACTATTTCCATTAAGGTAAGTTTGTTGGCTGTGGTCAGGGTTGGGTTTACATGTCACACACACAGATATACACATTGTACAATTTCCCCATGAGGCCAGGTTGAACCCAGTGTAAAATGAAACAAATATTGTTTATTCGGGCCTAGGCAATGACAAAACCTGCACCTGCATCTCTTTAAGGTTTTTGCTAGGTTTAAACAACCAGTAAAAACTACCAGGATATATGTTAAAATAACAGTCAAAGTCCTCAGCATCTTAATATAAAAGCTTATTGAAATAAGTCCAGGAAGCACTTCTGTGAGGACTCCCTCCATACATCTGGTGTCAGTGCGCCCATGTGCGTTATATCAGCAGCTACAATCCTCCTAAATCATCCAGGAGGAATTTAAGGACGTCTCTGACAAATAGAAAATTGAGTGCAAACACATGCAATATTTTATTTTGTCGCATAAAACGTCATTACAGTGTTTATTGCAAAATGTGGAGAGAAATCTGTGCGAGAATAAAGTGCTCTTACCGGGCTCCTCTGCACTATCGTGCTGCTTTAAGCTCCCAACATGCCCATCTCCATCATTTTGACGCTCCATTGGCTTTAAGAAGTCGCACAGGATTCCTTCAGAGACCCCAACCAGATCTACAGTGCCGTCGCTCACAATGCTCCGTGGCTTCACAGCCTCCTGCGCTGTTGCATGGAAACGCTGGACGGATTCATCTTATTCATTCTTTTTGGAGAGCTGATATTGCTGTCAAATTTATCCAAAAGAAACTATTTGTCCAAATGACGTGACTGTGTGTACACAGAGTATTCATCTCAATCAGTTGGTTACAGAAGCTGTTTCAGGTCTAAATAAATGCAGCCTGCGTGACATTATGTGCCAGAATGAGGCTACTCTATACTCAAACACATCTCCTCCGTGTGTGAGGAGGCTCTCAGTGTACATGCGACGATCCACTCACACACAGCAGAGTGATAACGCGTAGGGAAGCTCAGCGAAAATCGTGCCAAACGGTCTAGAATTATGTTGCATTCAATTCCCACAGGAAAAACAGGGAAATGTGAGTCCCCTGCCTCACCTGGCCACAACTCATCTCAGTTTGAAACCTCGGCTTTCGTCTTCCTGCAAGAATTTGGAGTGAATCCTATGTTTGGTTACTTTTGACTATCAAGTTTATTTTCTTATAAAAGTTATGGTGGGGAAGTCATTAATGCTTTATACTTTAATTACACTGTATACTGTTCTACTTTTTCATTGGTACACTTTTTTATGGATGCACAATGCACATATTTTAACATTCTTAATATTATTTCTATTTCTTATAATGTCTTTCTTTACCAATTTCAGTAACTGTTACGCAACCAATTCACTTCAGTTTCACTCCCTATGTTTCCCCTGGTTATCCACGCCCACCCTGCAGTTGTTCTGAGCTCCACAAGGAGGGCTTGCCCATTTGAGAACCATTGGGATGGAGTAAGTACTCCCATTCTGTGCGTCTCATGTATTACCATTTGGCCCTTCTGAAGTCCTAAAAGACTCTCCTAACTACCTTAAAGAAAAAAAGGATCCACCTGCCCAATAAACAAGATATTTTTTACTTAAATGCCAAATTGTGCCTCTTTTCCTTATCTAAAAAAGATAGATGACCAGACATATTTTTACCTTGCTCAATTTGTACATGAATAAAATATCTGTCATATGAGCCTTTCTTTTCACAAAAGTGTATATTTTGCTTGTGTTTCACAAATATTTTGTTGCTAGAAAATACAATTATAATTTGGGCAACTGGATAGGAATCTTTTCATTCTTTAAAACATGACTATTATTTTCCTCCAGATGGTTTGAAGAGTCTTTGAGGATTCTGCAGTGTTGTTTGACCTGTCACAGGTGTATCATAGACAATAGCGGAGGGACTTGAATGGGACTGTAAGGTGGGGTTAGAATAAGGGAGGGCATTTTGCTTACAGTCACCTTAACCGTGTTTGATATAACACTGCAAAGGTGCCCTCTTGGATGCCTCTATGGCAGAAAAAACATGACAAAGTGCCCTCTAGGGTGCTGCCTAACCCTGACATGAATGCATCACAACTTTCTACACGCTGGTGAACACCCCTGCCCCTCAAGTCTGAGTTAGCCACTGCCTACAGTGTATGAACAACTGACCTGGCTCAATCTACATCATCCCTTAAGCATAGGGTGTATGTTTTCCTTATAAAGGTAGATAGCTGTGAGGCCTGTAAGCGCTGTTATTTCCTATGGGTTGTGAATGCAGCATTGTTCTCCAGCAGCTCGAACATCACTGCGCCAGCTGGTGCCGCCCACTCGCGCTGGGGTCTTCCAGTAGGCGCGAGGTGATCTGAGCGGTAGTGTTCTCGCGTAAAGACAGAACATTAAACAGCAAACACCCTGGAACATCACGATAACGACTTTACACATTATAGCAACACTGAAGGATCAATATGAATTCATTTAAGTTCAAATATTTGAAATGAGCTGTGAGCAGCAGAATGCCTTAAACACCTCTTCTACATGTCCCAAAACAACAACCACAAAAAGGAAATGTTTCCTTCAGTAATTGGTTCCTTTTATCTTCACAACTCTGTTTCTCTGCTGTCAGCTGCAAGGACACGCTCCTTGCTGTGTGAGCAGATATGAAGACCACATGATGAATAATGATAATTTAAATCCCACATGCCACATAATATCTACAGTGTTCCCCACGTTATTCACAGTGCACCCAGTCAATGGGAACGGCTTAGCGCAATTAAACACACGTAATCAAATACGCGCTTCAGGACAGAAGGCGTCAACCAGCCTGCACAGGAGCGTAAAGGAAAAACTCTGCCTGACATCACCTCTTAATATCAGCACTATAAACCCCTGGCCAAAGCTTACTGTTAAAGGTAGAACAAACAACCAAATGTGAGCAGCTTAAGGGAGAAAAGAAGCTGTACCCACCAGACATTTACGCGGAGAACAAATGAATGAAAGAAGTGTAAACAAAGGCCGGTTTCGGAATAATAAGGAGAGATGTGTTTGAAAAAAAATATTTACCTTTTTCTCCTGAGTTACAGAGAAAGCCGGCTGGGTAGAAGGTAAAAATGAATAAGGTGCAGGTAGGTACTGGCCAGGTAACACTTCCCACTCACCTGTGTGTAGACGGGCGCAGGAGGAAGTACTCCTCAGGTAAAGTCTCCCCTCCCACACAGCAGCTCTGGGACATGAAGTCATTGGTGGGTTATGCAAAGTGACAGAGTCTGCTGATTGGCCAGGAGTCCAATATGTATTCTAAAATAAAGCTAGAATGCACCTGCCTTTGGTTTTGGTAGGGGATATGGTATCTGCAGTAATTTCTTATATTTTTGCACTATTAATGGAGCATGCCGACAGCAGACAGAGAGTCTCCGCAGGTGAGACAAACATTCCCATACAGGCATGTGTGGACTTGCAGTAGTTCCGGAACCTGCCCCCACCTCTGGACTGAAGAAAGGAGTGGTCACACACAGTGACACAGAATTCACTGCAGTGCAAGCATTTTGAAGAACATATAAAGTTCATATGTGAGAAATAATTTATTTCAGTGGTTTTCAGACTGTGGTCTGGACATGCACTCTAAAAACAAATATTTTGGCTCAACAAAACAAATTAAGGCAACAGTTTGTATCAATCTTTTAATGAAATCATGTTTAACAAATGTACTACATTGAGTTATGGGAATTAGCATTGCCTCAACAATCAAAGATACTTTTAATGACCACTTACCTAATATTTTGTAGTATAAACTAGTTTTTAAATTGATTAGGCTACTCATAAAAATCTATTTGTTCCAACTAGTTTTTGCACATTATTTACACAACAGTATCAAAATACTGTTCGCAACTTAAAAGGTTTATCTAAATCAATAAATTAGAACTTTTATCTTGCAACCATGCATTTAATTAAGTGGTGACAATAGGTTCACTGAATTACCTTTCAGATTATGGGTGCTGGAAGTAGGGGTCCTGAGGGGACTGCAACACTCCTTAAAATCTGGTATAAAGAAAATATTCAAGCTTTTATTTACATTTATTTAATTTTTTGCCTTGTTTTTTTTAATCAATTTTATTGGCAAAAAAGTAAATAAATATGTGTAAAAGTGTGTTAATAACTATTAAATAGGCTATAAATTATCCTGGCCATTCACATTAATACAAAAACCATGAATGTCATGAGTATGGTGTCATTATAAAGTTGGAACAAAAGGGACTCTGTTTGACCTGAATGGAATGGAACAGAACTTAATTAGAATCATTGGTAACAGGTTGATAGTTTTTATTCATTATAACTTATAGTGGTCCTTGCTTACTCATTTATGGACTATGGAGAGTTTATAATCTTGATACAAATACTTAGAGGGAATTCCTTAAGACAAAATCCTCTCAAATTGGGGGTCTGTGGTCTAATGTGCATCCTGCTTTGGTCTTTGACATGAAAAAGTTGGGGAAACCTTGATTTTCTTGACTGCAAGCATCTAGCATACAGTACATTCTGTCAAACAACAATACCTCCTAGTATGTTTTCCTGTTTCAACAACATTCATATTTACATATTCAAAGTGGGTTTCTGTCTGCATGCTGTCACCTGAGGGCAAAATGTGGGTTTTAGACATCTTCCTCTTTTCTTACACTGTATGGAAACATTGGATGGGAATGATGACAGATAATCCACAAAAACAAAGACTGAAATTACACTAGTGGAGGACTACCACTGTGCCTTCTTTAACCAGATGCAGCAGCCGGTAGGCTAGCACCTTTAGACTTCTCTGTTTTTGTTGGAATCTGTTTTCGGCTTTATTGCTAGAACACATTGCATTACTTATGAAAGAAATAGTCTACAGTCGTCGGAAAAGGAAGCATGGGATTTGGATTAAAGAACAGCGTAATTTAAGATGATCCACCCAGCCAGATCAGCAGGACCAGCCCGCCACGGTGGGAGCTGTCGTCCAAAAAGGATGCCAGCCCAGCTGGACAGGCTGCTCCTGACTAATGTCTGGTGTGGACCAAATAAGACTCAGGCTGGCCAAACAACAGGAAATCAGAGGCTGTTGTGCCTGCATCTACAGAGACCTGCTCCATCAACATCCCATATCAAGCACTCATTGAGTGGTCCGTGTTCCAAGCTGACTGAGCGTTGGATGAGAGGAGGTTGACTGTTTACATCGATGATGCTTGGTGCTCAAACCCAGTCAAAGTGGATGGACACTGTTTCTTTTTATGTGAAGATGAACCCATATTATCATCACTAACTTGTTGCTGCAGTTTACATTCAACCAGACACAAATTCAAAAGCTGACCAGCAGAATTATTTACTGGGTGTATACATGTTTGTATATCTGTATATAAGTAACAATATATATTGGTTTATTCTATTTTATTTATTTTATGTTAGTCTATCAATTTAATTATCTTTTTCCATGTGTGTAGTTTGAAGAAACTGCAGATTTTAATTTCGTTTTACATTAACTTACAGTCCTATGAAAAAAGAAAAGAATTGCCTGCAAAGTATTGAGGGACTAGAGGAGGATGTTTGCTGCTTGCCTATAATCCTAGTAATTCATTACAGAGAGAGTGCCTCTCAGAAAGCACCCAAACCTGACAGACTCTATCAAAGTGGTTAAACTAAACAGTGAAAAAGCCTGTTGTCGGACCACAGCTTCAGTGTGTTTTGTAACCTGTTTGCACTACTTGCTTCTTCACACACGGTGGCAAATCAAAACCAGGGAGTGCTGTTTGCAAAACATTTCCCAAATGGGTGTTCGTGTGGACACTGGTGGGAGACTGTTGATTGGAATTTAAGCTTTCCCAGTGCTGCAGGTAAGGGCCACAGCAGGGCATGGCCTGAGTGAAGTGTTGTGTTTCTCGCTAATACAAAGACTTTCATAGCCCTGGGTGTTGTTTTACACACCACACCCAAACCTTCAGATCAGGATCGGACTGCCATCACTGAAATACAAGAGGTCTTTTTTTAAATGCAGTTTATTTTGTTCAAGAATGCAACAGAAACAAAGTTGCCAAAAAGGAAGCAAGAAAAGTGGAAAATATCATAAATCTACTTCTACTTATAGGGTTGCTACTGTTCCAGCCAACAGCACACTTATAAGGGATCACAGCTCTATACAGCTCTTCACCCACATAAGGACTCTGAGGTATACCTGTGAGTGTATTCATCGTCCCACACATGCATATTTTCAAGGAAAGCCTTTGGTCCCGTTGTCACTACAGGTATGTACAGTATATTCCACCCTGTGAGTCATAGCTGTTAGCATGTTAACTAATGCTGATGCGTCTAAGAGTCACTTCTGAAACTGAGTCAAGAGTTGTAGTATTCAAACCAGTTCTGCTGTAAGGAAGTGGGCACGGTGCTATAAATCACAGTAGTTTCCAGAGTCAGCAGTACTATTACAATCAAGGAATGAAGTGGAATTTGGTAAGTAGGGGAACCATTAAGATCTGGTATAGTGGTGCAGCAGTGAAAAATAACTTCAAAATAACTCCCAAATTGATTTGTACTATGTGGACTTGTTTTCTTTGTGGACAGGCTCTGTGATCAGCTTGCCCTCTTTTTAGAACCCATTTCTTGATATGTTTTTCTGGATCCGACTGGTTTAAAGGTGACCTTGCAAGGGAGCTGAATTTGCAAGGTCACAAAATCATGACATAATGTAAGAAGGCTTTAAGCTCTGTGTTTCTGTCCGGTAGAGTAATATCCGACCGTCAGTGTCCTTTGAGGAAGTACTGGCAGCTAAATGGGCAATAGGTGTGGCGTAGGAAGAAGACACTGTTTGTGAAACAACAATGGTGGCTGCTAGCATAATTTCTATGAGAATTGGAGAGTATTTTCTAACTAAAAGAAGAGCAATGAACGGTACTGAAGCCTTTTCTTTTCTTTTTTCGTCTTCTCCCAACTAACTCCAATCACCTGCAAAGTATTTTTTGAAAATGCCGGCTCAGTTCCAAACTGTTTCCAATGATGACATCCCAGATGGTTCTGTGTAACAAGGCGCAGTCAAACTATGTGGAAGCTTCAATGTTCAATAGCTTCAACAGCCTGTGTGGTCCAGGATTGTATTTGGCCAGAAAAATATTCTTTATGATGTTCACAGCATGAGATAATGTTATGTCTCTGACTGCAAACTTTAAGACAAATCTTTGAGCTCATCTAGATCATCAAGGGTAAGACCCACGGTCTTTATGAAATCACCTGAAGACAGTTTTGTAGTAAGTATCATGCAACACACATATTTGAAGAGGCCGACTCACACTGAAGGAGTGAGTTTCTCAGTGTCTCTCCACCTCCCTCACCTCTGTGTGCGCACACATTCCCACCACAGAACAGATTGTGCTCTGGACTTTGGTAGAAATGCCAAGAGGAATATTTGGCCCAGTAACACAGCAATATTGTGCTTCTTACTTCAACACAATGTATGTGCAGTGATGCTGCCAGAATCTTTTAAATCTCAAATGTACATTACTAGTGCTTTTATTCAATGTGGCTTTCAGTGGAATGCATTCATTTGTGACCTCAGCAGTTTGGAGATTCCCAGTTCCACACATGGACACTGATACTGCCAGGAACTTTGAAATATTTAGGCTGTTAAACTATGTGCAATTCTCTGAGCCTGAATTATACCCTTAAGGTCTTGCTTTACCTACAGCATTGCAAGTATTGCAAGTGATTCTCTGTTGGTTCTACTGTACTCTGTAGAAAGTTGTCTAAATGTATACCACATGCAAAATACTGCATGATTTTTGCCCAAAATCTGCATGGAATTAGCATAAAGGGTGCATGTCTGCAAAGGGGAGACTTGTAAATACCCATAGAACCCATTTTCACTCAAATATGTAAGTTGCTGAGTTTAGGAGATACCAGCCGTAGAGATATCTGCCCTCCCTTCAATATAATGGAATCAGATGGCACTCAACTTGTGTACTCTAAACCAAAATACATTTAAAAACCTCAACCTCACAAACAATGCTAATTTCTCCGGTTAGGGTCAGGTGGCCTCACTGGTGGCTGGAGTCTTAGCAGTGTCTGCTTAAGTTAAATAACATCATTTCTGCACTACTGTGTGAGAATTGTATGTAGCAAAGGTTGCTGTGAAGAGAGATTTTTCACCATACTGCAGATCAGTGCAGTGTTCTATGAAGCTCAGACCAACACAGCATATTTATACCTTCTCTTTACTCTGCACTCTTCAAAGGGACAACTCAAATCTGGAGGAGCTAAAGCAAAAGCTAAAAATGCTTAAAAAACAGTTTTCAACAATGTTTGTTGTTTTTGTGCCTCTTCCACGCCTACAGGAGTGGATGCAGTACAATGTGCAGACAGGTGACAAATTACAGGAAAAACCTGAATGGATGAGTGGAGAAACATGACAAATGCAGATGCTTTCATTCAGGACACAAGGGCTCATTAAATGGTTTAATAAATGAACATGATGTCACACCTGTGGGAGAATGAAGAGGGAATTTTTTGTTGAGTTTTCCTTTAATTTGTCATCCCCCATACATCCTGAACAACATAAAGCCCTTCAGTGCAAAACTTTGTAACAAATACTATACAACAGTTATACTGTTATAATCACAGCAGCCTGTTGAATTTGAGTAGAGGGACTCACGGTAGCTTACCTGCTAGAGTACATGCTCCATGTAAGCTGAGTCCTTACCGCAGCGGCCCAGGTGGGGCGTATAAATCTAAATACATTTTCTTTTTTAAAGAATAGATGAAGAAGAGATGGAACAATCAGGTTGATTACTGGATTATTTGATCACCATTTTGACTATTTTGATGACTGAGTAATCATAATTTTTTCACGATTCCAGCTTTTCAGTTGTGAGGATTTACTGAATTGAATTTATTATGATAATGAACCTAATATCTTTTGGGGATTTAGATAGTTGGTCGAACAAAGCAAGCAATATGAAGGCACCATGACAGGCTGTAGGAAATTGTGATTTTTCTGTTTATATTAAAAATAAAATGAATTCATAGACTACCAATCAGGTGTTGAGAGATGCCATGCTAAAAAGTGCTGCACATTATTTGGGCCCTCTACATAAATTCAAATCAGTGTGGTGAAGCGGATGTATGGTCTGTTTGGAAATGCTCTGCATAAGGAATGCACATTTATTGTGATCCTTCTCAGAAGGTTCTTGTAAGGTTCAAGGGAGACATTTGCACCAGGATAACATCAAAATACACACGTTCCCATGGCCTGTATTAATGAAAAGCTTTAGCATCTCAGTGCAAACAGTTGTTCAGAATGAGACTCCTCCTGATATATTCAGTTCTAAAATTCATAAGCCTAAATGGATTAATACTAAATTAATTAATACTAAAATAGTTAGATATTAGCGCAGATGAAACTATATCTGTAAAGTTATGATACCTTGTAGCAACCGATAATGTAATAACAGCCAATAATGTAATACCTGCCAATAACGTAATAATTTTGGCCATTTTAAATGTAATAAAGCCAACGTAATAAGCCTTCCAATAAGCGGAGCGGAGCTTTCTTAAGCCCAATACACGCGGAGAGAGTAACATTTTCTTGCCAATAAGTATAAGTCATTACGTTACTGGGCTGGTTTGACGTTATTGGCGACAGCCATTACAAGAAATCCTTTGAACTGTTCAATAACCAGCCCGATAATGTAGAGCCCACGAGCGACACACCTCCGGACTGCGCACTGTCTGGAAATA